ATATATATATGTACGAATTAACATCTTATACTATTTGGGTGGTCTCCAGGTTTGCAAAAACATTGAAATTCTGTCCAGCTACTTTTTACAGAAACTCTCTAAATCTTTTAATTCATAATCATGGCAACTTTAATATAAACAAAACATCTAACTGCAGCTTAGCAACCTAAAAAAATAAACAAAGYTGTTTGAGAAACAAGTCCATCTGAGGGTCAACCACCTCCAGTCATACAGCAACCAACAAATTTAAAACATACAACACCAAACTACATCTGAAAGATAAARTGAGCTTGCATATGGGCTGTAAGATGCATGATGTCATTGGAGATGTGGGAGCTGTRTTTAGACTTTAAGATGTTCATGCTCAACAAAAGTTGGTTATAAAAGTGTTGAGCCAAAGATGGAAGGGTTATGTTAAGGGAAGGGTTTTATGTTAATATACTTTTGTACTTTTCGGGGCATTCCTTGTTTTAAAAAGAAGTTTCTCAGGTAGGTTTTCAGTATCACTCCAGTTSTTCTCTTTAGCAAAAGTGGGCTTCTGATAGAAGACGGTTTCCTTTCTGAATCTTCCTCCAAATATGGCCTATATTACAATGCTTAGTCACAAACTAGTCCGTAACAATCACAGTCCAGTGAGATAATATCTTCAACCACTCAGTATCACCTTGGAAATTTGTTTTCAGTCATTGTTGAACTAGAATTCTGGCTGGTTATGAGAGATCAAGAACTTATTTCACTTAATAATTTGTAAATTAATTTTTACCTTATTTGTAATGTTCTTTTTTGTGGGGAWTTAAAGTGATAATCTGTTTCCCCCTATTAAAATAGGGAAAAACAACCTGATGGCTCAGTGGTTAGCAGTGATGCCTCACAGCAAGAAGGTCCTGGGTTCAATCCCCAGTTTGGACCTGGGGTCTTTCTGTGTGGAGTTTGCATGTTTTCTTCTTGCTTGTGTGGGTTTTCTCTGGATACTTCCCCCCCTCCCAAAAATAAAAAACAAAAAAGTACAATAGTTTGCCTTCAGGCCCTGGCCACCCAAAGATATATTCGATGTCAATGGGATTTGCCTGGTGAAATAACAGTAAATAAGATACAACTATAATATAATTAGGGGTTGTATATTTAATGATGAACAGTCCTTTTACATACAGTAT